TCAGGGCCTGGCAGGCTCTCCTGGCCTCCCTGTGCCGAGCGCCCATGGTGCCAGCCCAGCTCCCAAAGGGGCAGTGCCTCTGCAAGCTGCCAGCCGGCCCCTCCAGGCAGAGGACAGAGGTTCACCCGCAGTGCCCTTGTGCTGGCCGTCTCCCTAGGCAGCAGTGGCAGCTCCCTGGGGTGGCTGGTGCCCCATGAGCGTCCTGGGGTCCTGCTGCCACCGGGGTGCCATCGGGGCAGGCCCTTTCCCGCGGTACCAGGCGCCCTGCTGGGGGGGGGGGCCCAGTGCCACGGTGCCCTGTCCCAGGGAAGCACGCAGCCAGTGCCCTCCCCACTCTGAGCAGCGACTGACCCCTGAGTCAGCCGGGTACCACTGGTTTCCTCCCCTCCCCGAAGTGGCCATGCAGGGCCCTGGGCTGCCCCCAACCCTCCTCTGAACCCCGTTTCCTTGGCCAGGCGCGGCCTTCGGGCGGCTGGTGGGGGAGAGCATGGCAGCCTGGTTCCCAGATGGCATCCACGCCGACAGCAACATCTACCGCATCGTGCCGGGCGGCTACGCCGTGGTCGGTAAGTGCCGCGTCCCCGTGCCCGGGGAGAGGCCCCAGCTGGTGCGACGGCCCAGAGAACCTGCTCATGGTGCAGGGGGCAGCTCCCTCCTGCCAAGCTCCTGGGTGGGCCGGGCTTCCCAGAGGGGGGTGTCCCTAGGGAGCCAGGGCTGAATTCACCTCTTGGCCCCTGTTGGGAGCAGGCAGGGGCGGGAGGCTGGGAGCTGGTGCAGACTGATTGGCAGAGCAGCTGGAGGGGGAGCGCTGCGCCGTGGGGTTCACGTGGTCCCCCTCACTAGGGCCCACTGGGGGGCATCACGGTGGGGCAGCGCCATGGGGCCTGGCTCGGGGCCAGGCCAGCCCGCCAGGGTCTGACTGGGGCTCCCTCTGCCACGGCCAGGCGCGGCCGCGCTCTCCGGCGCTGTGACCCACACGGTCTCCACCGCGGTGATCGTCTTCGAGCTGACGGGCCAGATCTCCCACATCCTGCCCGTGATGATCGCGGTCATCCTGGCCAACGCCGTGGCCCAGAGCCTGCAGCCCTCCCTCTACGACAGCATCATCCGCATCAAGAAGCTGCCCTACCTGCCCGAGCTGGGCTGGGGGCACCAGGAGGAAGTGGCTGCCAGGGCCCCCTTCCCCAGGAGACTGGGGAGCTCAAAGGGACCCAGTTCAGGAGCTCGGCTCGGCGCTCGGACGCCCCAGCAAGGGGTCCAAGAGTCCCTGCAGCCTCTGGGTTCCCGGGGCTGAGTAACAGCGGGACCATGCCCTGGCCTGCCGGCAGCCCCTCCCGCCCCACGCTCAGGGCCCTGCCTTGCTCTCCTCAGGAAGTACAACGTGCGGGTGGAGGACATCATGGTGCGGGACGTGCACTACGTCACCCTCAACTGCAAGTACCGCCACCTGCAGGAGGTGCTGCACAGCACCAAGCTGAAGAGCCTGGCGCTGGTGGAGTCGGCGGGTGAGCCGGGGGGGGGAGAGGGGATGCACAGGAGCAGGCGGTGCCACAGGGTGGGGGGCAAACTCCTGGTGCCCTGCTCAGGCTGGGCAGGGCCACCCCTGCGTGCCCATTCCCTGGGCCAGCACAGCCCTCCCGGGCACAGCAGGCTGCCTGCGCAGTGGCTGTCAGGAACCCCCTTCCCACCCTGGCCCCCCCAGGCTTCCCCAAAGGGCACGTGGCTCCCCCAGGCTCTGGCGAGGGGCCGGGCCTTGAGCGCGTCCTGTGCCAGACGCCTGCCCGCTCTGACATTTATCTCCTCTGTCGTGTTACCGTAGCAACGAGGATGCTGCGTTACCATGGCAATCTGTAAAGTTACGCGGAAACAGGAAGGCCAGTGCAAGCTCTTTTCAATGGATCCTCCCCCACCCCCACCGAGTAAACAGGGGTGGGGGGGATGGGCCTTTCTGCAGCGGGTGGGGCTCAGGGCTCTGCTGTTGGCTGAGACCCTCCAATCCATCACACATGAGCTGCCAGCTAGAGCCTGCTGCAGGGACTCTCAGTTCTTGCCTGTGGGCACCATGGGGCCACCCTGCCTGTCCCCAGAGCCCCAGGCTGGGCCCCAGAGCGAGCAGATGGGTCAGCACCCAAATGTCACTGACTCTCGTCATAAGAGCGGCCAGACTGGGCCAGCCCAAAGGTCCGTCCAGCCCAGTGTCCCGTCTGCTGACAGTGGCCAATGCCAGGCGCCCCCAAGGGACTGAACAGAGCCGGGAATCATCAAGTGATTCCAGCTTCTGACTAATAGCCATCGATGGGCCTGTCCTCCATGAATTTATCTAGCTCTTTCTTTGAAGCCTGTTATAGTCTTGAGCTTCACCACATCCTCTGGCAAGGAGTTCCACAGGTTGCCTGTGTGAAGAAATACTTCCTTGTGTTTGTTTTAAACCTGCTACCAGTTAATTTCATTTGGTGACCCCCTAGTTCATCAGCCTGGATTCAGCATCCTGCAGGCACGCTGGTGGGCAGGGAGCAGACCTGGGCGGCCAGGCCCTGCTGTAGGAGACCCTGGTGGTCCCTTCCCTTCTCTGGGCACTGATCTGTGTCCCCTCCTCTCCGAAGAAATACTTCCTTGTGTTTGTTTTAAACCTGCTACCAGTTAATTTCATTTGGTGACCCCCTAGTTCATCAGCCTGGATTCAGCATCCTGCAGGCACGCTGGTGGGCAGGGAGCAGACCTGGGCGGCCAGGCCCTGCTGTAGGAGACCCTGGTGGTCCCTTCCCTTCTCTGGGCACTGATCTGTGTCCCCTCCTCTCCAGGCTGGAGCCCTATCCACTAGGCCACAAGGGAACCCGCCCCTCCACCTTACCGCGGGTAGGCCCTTTATCCCGCCTGCCACAGCGCCTCCCGACCCGACCAGACTGCAGGGGAGCCGGGACTCGAACCCGCGACCCTGTCCTCCCCAAACGGGGAGCGGCAGGGAAAGCTGACGCCCAGAAGCCAGGAAGTCTGGGGCAAAGCCAGGAATAGGACCCAGGAGTCCTGTCTCCCAAGCTCAGAGCCCGGGGCCCCTGTGTCTTCCCGCCAGAGCTCCCACTTTCCAAGCAGGCTCAGGCCCATATGGTAGCTACTCTGTGACCCCACCCTGACTGGGGGTGCGTCAGAGGGGAGCTGGGGCGGGGGTTTGTCATCTGCCCTGTGGACAGATGGACAGACAGGCAGGGCTGGGAGCCAGGATCCCTGCAGGGCAGGCTGGTCCCACCCTGCCCCCCAGAGCCCTGCGGCACGGAGCCACGC